AATAGTCAATGTTTGATGACCCCAAAACCCCAAAACCCCTTAGAGAGAGAATAAAATGATAAAAATTGAGCAATTAATAACTTCTATTAGATGATATATAAGAGTGATTAACTCTGTTCTTTAAATTTAATAGTTTAGAGATAAATAGCCTGGCTTATCAATCACTGTCATCGTCAATGTAATAAATGCCCTGTGGATTATTTTTGCTCCTTGTTAACTTTCTGGTTAACTAATTTGAACTATCCCCTCCGTTCTCTGCTTACTTTAGCTTTGCAGTCATACCAGAGACTCTCCCAGCATTGCTGTTGAAGTCATTAATTCTATTCTAATTACTTCCTATTAGTCTGTATTGATTCTAGGGCTATAATTGCTTGCGCACATATTGCTTTGGATAGTAACCTTAGTCATCTCCGTTTTAGCTGAGGTATTCGTTATTATTCTTTTAGAACGACATCTGATCTAGTTCATTCTCAAGTGTTCGTAGAGCATTGCTATTAAGGTTATTGTTGTTATTCGCATTGTTATTAGTCTGTGTAGTAAATCTGACTTCTCCTACATTATCATCTGTCTCAGTATTCAATTCATCACGGATCTTTTGTGGAGTACTCTGATTTTAGTTTTTATTTGCCACGTTTGCTTAGCCATTTTAATTATTGCCTTCCTAATTCGTCTCATTTTCCCCATCTAAGTATTCATATTTTTTATAGTCTCCCTTCATTTTCTTTTCTTTATGCTTGAGAAAGTTCTTGTATTCTTGTCTTTTACGCTTGTAAAGCACGACGATAGTTATTAGAACTGCGATCAAGACTACAATAAGTGATGCAAATGTTACAGTTAGAATGAAATACTTGTCACTCACATTATAAACTACTTTTATACTTGATCTTAGCTAAATCGGTTGTAAAGCCTCTAATTAAGTCAGCTGGGAATTATCATTATCTTCAGTCAATATTGGAGACTCATAAAGTATTCTTCTGCTTTAATTGCTTTAGTATTTATCATGCCCTTCTCTATCTGCACTGTAAAGCTAAAACTAATCAAGGTCAAAATCGGCACTTTCTCCATATTAATTAGCTAATAAGACTAGATTATTTTCATTAGCTTTATGTTTCAACCTTATTTGATAATCATTCTATATCTTCCATATCAGATTTGTATTATCAATGATTATACTGAAGTTAGTTAGGTTTTAACTGCCTTTGAACAAGTCATTTATTGATTTACTATAGCTGGAGAAAACATTCTAAAACAATAGGTCATTTCTATTAATAAATACGTTTGAGTTGTTGTTCTTGACTACAAAGTATTGGCACTGAGGAGAGTCCTAGATTCTATCAGAGATTGTAGGATTACCGCTTTGTCTAAAAGAATAGGGTGCTTGGGGAAACACCAGCTATTGATAGCACTGATAATCACTTTGATTATGAATTTCAATAACGCTGAAAGTTTGCTTTTTGTTCTAATATTAAGTAGGCTATAAACAGCGAGTATAATTACCACACAATCTAGAGAATATTGCACTGAAACATCTGTCGTATCGAAACTCATTGTTTATAATATGTCTATAATAATTAAGAATATATTAATGAAATGGTAAACCAGATTGATTATTTATGGAATTGAATCTATTGAAATATAAATTACCTTGACTAATAAGATGGAGTTATGTGTAACTATTACTTAAAATAGTCATGTTATCAGAGGATAGTATAGTTGTCACTTAGGATTATCCTTGCTAAAATAGAAAGTATACCAAAATTAATATCGCCATTGAACATAATTTTGACTCATTCCTTTTCATTTTATTAATAATTATAAAAATTTTAATAATAAAATTAATGATCGATCTATTATAATCATAATTCAAAGTCATTCTCATTAATATCTCCACAGTCGTCATCACCTACATCTTCTTCGCTATCTCCACTTCTTTTATAAAATTCTATACTCTTGTCGCCTAAGTCACGCTTTGACTCTAAGTCAACGCACTTTCCATTACAATACCATTTAGTCTGTAAGTAACTAGCCATTGATTTATTAATCTTCTTTTTGCAATTAGCGTTATTGCAGACAACTGTGTTTTACTATGTATATATCTCTAGGCATTTGCTTCCACACAATTTCTAAATGGAATGATTTAAGATATTATGACTAAACTTACTCTTTACGAAACAGGATCAGCTGTTCCACCAGTGTTTGGAAACATTTTATAACAATTCCAGCAGCTTTCCTTTTTCGCATACCTAGTATCTTAGAGACCCTCATCTGGTAAGATCTCTTTTTCCTCGAATTAGGCGAAGTTATAGTCCATTACCCAGCCTTTATCATCGTCCTCACCTAAGTTCAACAAGAAATTTTTCTTTTTAGGAGGCGAAGATTCCTTGTTTTAAATTTGATCCTCAGATTTGATTACAGGTGTGGACGAATTGTTGTCTGTTCCAACATTATTGGTATTATCTGCACTCTCTACATTAGTTGGCTCCTCTTTCTTCTTTCCTGCATTACGCCAAGCATTGAGTGCTTCTAAGAATTGATTATGAGCAGCTTATTCATCATAATCTCCTTCTAGTAAAGTATTTCCAGTACTCGTATCACTAGAAGCATTATTAACTTTCTTGACTTTATCTTAATTATCAGTACCAACACCACCAGTCATCACATTAGGCTCGTCAGCAAATGCTACTTTTTTCTTTTCTTTCCTCGGCTAACTCGTATCGATAAAAGATGTAGTCATTGTAGTATTAGTATTTGTTTCAGAGCTAACTAAATTTTAATGCTTAACTACATGTTATCTTTCTCCTTATCTACTGTCTGGCACAGATAAACCTCTATCCTTCCTTACTTCCTTAATTTTCTTCAATATTTTAAGTTTATGTCCTAAAGGAATACTCATCTACTCAAGATGTTTTTCATCCAATTCCAATATAATCTCCATATCTTCAACCCCATTATCTAAGAAGGTATCTTTGTACTTCAGCATATTTAGTTCCTTTAAAAACTCATCGACTTCATGAAACTAATCATTCTAATCTTGCAAAGCTTTTGATAAATTATTTGCTGCTGCCAAGGGTTAATTTGAATGAATGCTCGCGGAAATTTATGTTTACATTGAGGCCTATGAATTATTTGAGTCTGTTAAAATTTCTTTTTTAAGAGTTTAAGTGTTTATAAATCCTTTCATTCCTTTATTCGTTTATTTTTAAGTATTGCGATTCTCGCTTTCATCATCTTTGAGGATTAAGGTGGTTGGTGGAAGGTTCGGTTACTTTTATTTATGATGTTGCAACACCATCTAGGAATATCCATTAATTGTTTATTTAGTTGTAGCTGATCTCCACATAGTTCCCTAATTTGACTACTTCATCTAGTCTCTCTTTTCCTTTTCTTGCTCCATTACTTTCTTAATCATTTCCAAGCGATCTTCCATCATTTTTGTTTCCTCGATCATTACATCTGATGGTTTCCTATTAATTTATTGTTAAAATCGATTTGCATTTGGGAAAGTTGTGATTTAAGGTAATCTATAGTTACAGGTTTTTTTTATTAAGCAAACTTTTAGGTAAATTAGCTGTATTCCCGAGGGAACCTCCTGTTTTATTGCCGAAACTTGTTGAAGTATTTTTCATATTTGAAAATTCTTTAATTTATATATTCTCTATAATATGAATTTCCAATTCGATGGGGTTTTGGGGTTTTGGGGTTTTGGGGAGATCGGAAGAGCACACGTCTGAA